CACACTAAATCCTGATATATAATATATAAGTAGGATTAAATAACAAACAACATCACATAACATATCTAACAAATTAGATATTTGTGCTTTATGCTATGCTACCGATAGCCAAAATTGGCATTAATCCTTCTCTATAACATCTTATTTAAATAAATATTGTGTGAAATACACGAACTAGATTGAACTGTGAGTTATCTGCTTCATTATTTGATTAATATCTTGATTTATTTGTCATCTTAATTCCTAATCCAGGTTGCTAACCAATAAAAACGTAGGCTCAATTATCCTTTTATCCTTTCCCACGAAACAAAATTAATTCACACTATAATAACACACATTTACTGATATAAAATCATATCCAAATATTACAACATCGTATGGGTTGCTTGTAAGCTGATTCCACGTTTTAACAATAGCTATTGGCCAAAAAAAAGCGGTAAAGCTAACCCATGTAATTCAACACACCACATAAACAATGTAAGGACCACAACAAGAGGCGGCGGATCCAAGGTCAGGAGAAACAAAGAAACCACGGAAACCGATCATCTGCTAAAACAAAAAAACGCACGGAACGAAACGTTGTGGACGCTTGTGTCCAGCTCCTACGGAAGAGGCTGAGGCAGGAAGATGGCTGAACCCGGGAGGCGAGCTGCAGAGGTTGAGATCTGAGAACGGACAGATTGCCTGCTCAAGTGGGTCCCTGGCCCCTGAGTAGCCTACCTGGGAGACATTCCCCACTAGGTGCAGACCAACATCCCACACCTCACACGGCAGGGTACACCCCTGAGACGAAGCTTCCAGAGCAAGAATCAGACATGAACACTCGTTGATCAGCAATATTCTATCTTCTGAAGCCTCCGCTGCTGATACCCAGGCAAACAGGGTCTGGAGTGGACCTCAAGCAAACTCCAACAGACCTACAGCAGAGGATCCTGACTGTTAGAAGAAAAACTAACAAACAGAAGGACACTCACACCAAAACCCCATCAGTACATCACCATCATCAAAGACCAAAGGCATATAAAACCACAAAGATGAGGAAAAACCAGGGCAGAAAAACTGGAAATTCAAAAAATAAAAGTGCATCTCCCCCTCAAAAGGAACGCAGCTTATCGCCAGCAATGGATCAAAGTTGGACACAGAATGACTTTGACAAATTGAGAGAAGAAGTCCATCAAACTTCTCAGAGCTAAAGGAGGAATTATGTACCCAGCTCAAAGAAGCTAAAAATCTTGAAAAAAGAATGGAAGAATGGATAACTAGAATAATCAATTCAGAGAAGGCCATAAA